CACATTAAAAAATTTAATTAGTATTATGCAATAGCAATAAATTAAAATAAACATAACGCTGGTAAATTAAAATGAACACATTAAGCTAATACATCTAAGCTATTTTTAAAAATATAATAGTTTTATTATGAGAGTTATTTGCAGAATTAAATAGATCTCTACTACATAGCCTAATCATTATTTTTTTTAGAGAATGTTGTAATGAATGAGAATATAAAAAAAATCTGTAATAAAAAACAACGCTTAGGTAAAAGGCAGCAAAATATTTGACCCATTTTTTAATGTTTTAATGTAGTACACATATAAAAAAATATTTTCGAAAAGAACACTTTAGAAATGTAAGATATTTTTGAAATACTTTGCCATGAAATTGAGTTTTGTAAAAGCTTTTTTTGAAACATTGAACAATCTTAACTACTGAATACTTTTTTGAGGTATAATTTATAAAAAACAATATTTCAAATTTAGTATTCAAAGATATTAAATGAATCAGGATGTATAATCATTCCAAAAGATTGATATTTCAGATACATTGCATACAAAATTGCTTTTGAAATTAATATTTTCATATGGAAGATTCAATAGTATTTTAGTTACATGAAAGTTTATTTCCACACTTGCATATCAGTATTTTAGCCCTTAGCCAGAAGCAAATGATATTAAATACACCAGTTAAAAGTAGAAACTTGTTTAAATAAATTTAATTCCATTAAAATGTACACATTTTTAATACAAAAAGAACAATATTCAAGTTTACTATTTAATGAGATATTCAAAAATTATTAAAAAAAATTAATAAAAAAGATAATATGTAGAATTTTTTAAAAGTATATTTAAATGCAAAATTCAATACTTTTAATGACATGAAGGTTTTTTCACATGAGCATTTCAAGTATATATTAAATTCTATTAAAATGTATACATTTTTAAAACAGATGGAATAAACTTTGAAATTTGGTATTCAAAAAGATTAAGTAAAGTAAGAGGCAAAACAAAAAAAAGAATGATAATTCCGATCGAATGTATAAAAATTAGTTTTGAAAAAATAATATTTTATCATTGCAATGAATGCAATAATTTTAAGAAATATGAAGTTTTTCCCTGCAAAAGTAATAAGTATGTGAGTCATTCTAATTAAATCATACTAAATACATGAGCAGAAATCAGGCCTAAGTTTAAATATATTTAATTCCATAAAAAATGTATAAATTTATAAAATGTAAAGCAAAATCTTTCATCGTTAGTTTCAAATGAGATAGAATGACCAAGATGTATAATTATTGAAATATAATTTATAAAACTGATACAAGGCATGAAAATTATTTTTGAAGTAAAAATTTTTTGTACACGGAATTGAATATTATTTATTTACATTGAGGAGTGTTTTTTTTCTTCACACTTTACTTTTCTTCACATTTTAACCAACAGAAATAAGTGATACTATACACTTCAACCAAAAATTAGCAAAAATTTTAAATACATAAAATTTCATAAGAAAGGTATAAACTTTTAAAACAAAAAAATACTTTTTCAAACTTAGATTCAAAAAGATTGAATGAATTTAAATGCAATAAAAAAATTGATAATATTAGAAACAATGTATCAAAAATTGTTCTTGAAGTAAATATTTTTAAGATGCTAAAATATCGTCTGCACAAAATAATTTGCATATTAAAATCTTAAATTTATTTGCAAATTACCTCTTAAACCATTAAGATTGCATCTTAAAACACAAAAATCGAATTGTTAGATCAAAGATTATAAAGGTGACTTGGTTTTTATTTTGCAATCTGCACATCATGTACACATTTAAATTCTTTAAAATTCTGTTTAAAGTATATAAATCTTTAAAACTAAAAAGATTAAAAAGGACTTGGCACACATGGTCATAATGCTTGAGTTAAATAATAATTACTCTACTTAAATTCCATTCTTTTAAAAAAATACTTGGATGCTTACAGACATGTCAAGTAGAACTAGAAATGCAAAAAAATATAATAAAAACAATTTGGCACTTATTTGAAAAGAAAAAAAAAAGGAAAGAATAGTGAGGTATACAGGCACCATACAAAAAATTAGTCACCCCTAGAGAATTCATGAAAGATAGAAATCGGGAGGTGTGTCTGTCATGTTTTTTTCCCTTCGTATTATACATTGCTCCCACTGAATGAAATAATAACAAACATAAACCAGACTATTTATTTTAATACTCTACATGATTAGATGCTATTTTTCAATCAACATCTTTATGCAGCATATGTTGTTAATATCTCTACTTTTTTTAAAAGATGAGAGCTAAGTTTATCAGACTAGAAGGATATGTGACTGTTTTATCAACATTTACATCTGAATTGATCTGCAAAATCACCTGACTTGAATCTGTGGGAAAAGTTGAAACATCAGTTAAAATACTGAAATCAGCATTCTTTCAATTTGGGAGATATACACAGCGAAATCCACAGTTAATGGCTTAAACTGGATGTGAAATACAGTCAGCCCTGCATAATGGAATACCACCAGTTCTAGACAACAGTATCCAGACATGTAAGCGGTTAAATCAATAATAAGGGGAATGCATCAGTCAATCTTAAAAGCTAATTTCCTTTTTTTTTTTACAAAATTTTAATTTCAATGGTATCCAATATAGTATAATGTTTTGAAGAAATAAACTCATTCTAAATATTAATTAACATTAAAATTAGAGCTTTTACTGGTAATAATCATAAAATACTATATGATAATAAAATTTATATAAAAATAAATCAATGCTAATTAAAAGTATAACATATGTACTATAATACTATTTCCTTTCGAAGAAATCTCTAGTTGAAATCTGTTTTGATACACTGTCGAAGATAGATTAAAAAAAAAAACAAATTCTTTTATTACATAACTGCCAATAAGACATGAGCAATTACTAAACTACCCCGACAACTGTTTGGAGCAGAAAATAGACAAGAAGTCTTATTTAAATGAAGTATGTTTGCTGGTGAATCATTCTTATAATATGAAAAAAAATCCTTCAACTTTTTTTTCTTCTCATCTTTATGCAATTAAGCAAGGACAGGTAACTGCAAATAATCGTTTAAATGTGGAAATTAAACACTGGTTTCCATTGCTGCCAACACGGATATGAAAAAAATCCAGTAAATTTTACGAAATAATATAAATTTCCTGATAATTGTTGCAAAATATTTTAAATGTTTTACACATAGGGAATTTTATAGTCATTAAAATAGAAAAACTGCAATATTTTCCAGTTATGATTTCACATTAGATGATCTTAAAATGTTATGTATTATGTTTACTTAATTCATCAAAGATAGTAAACTAAATTTTATAAATGAGGCTCGCTTTATTATGCATTAGTGACACTTATTTAAATATTCAAGCAAAGTAATAATCTGCACAAAAATTCTATTTGAATAGGGATTTTTTTTAAGGAAACATTAGAGAAACTCCTTTTTAGGGAATTTTCTAAAATGTACAAAAACCAGGAGAATTTTTATTAAACCAGTAGACCAAGAGATACTGTCAAAATCCAGTAGAACTGGAAGCTATGGGTTTCATATAAAAGAATTTGGTTCCTCTAAATTTTATTCATATAAGCCCATTATTCGATTATATGGGCTTATTTAAGTAGTGGGGAACGGCTATACCTTGGAAAACCTCATGGGCTCACCTCCAAATCAAATTCAATCACTATCAAGTTCAGAGTAAGAGTTACACGATATTAATTTAGGCTTCTCCTAATTTCTCTATGAGTGACTGATTTTTGTTCATCTAGTTAAATGACACAATAATATTACTTTACTCAAGTAATAAATTGGAAGACTGAACTTTTAACCAAAGATCAAATTTTCCGATTTAGCGTAAGTATAAAATAAAATGAAAGAAATACTTTTTTAAGGAAGATATCACATATTGTTTTAAAAATAAACACATGCATTATAATCATTGAAAGGCAGAAAAATAGGATACTTTAAAAAATCATCAAAATTTCTTATTCCTGTCCATTTGAAACATTTAAAATTAAATGCCCTCTTGTAAAACATTTTACAATTTTAAAACATTGAATCAAAGCGTTATCTGTAAATCAAATGAAAGATTATATCAAAGAAAACAACTATTTCACTATTGTGCAATTAACATTGAATGGTGATATATTCAAGTTCAAAGTTTCTACATTTCTCTGCAGGAATGTCAACTACTATGAATTTTCCTTCGCTTTTTCAGACTTTAACTTATAATTACAGAACTACAGAGAACTAATAAAACAATGCAGCCAAATACTTTTAAAATGTTCCAATTTTTAATGCACTTTACCAAGTATTTCAATAATTTTGCTGCAATTCTCAGAATTGGTTTTATTTTAACCCTTAGTTATTCCCTTTTGCAAAATTTGGTAAGACTATTTTTTATTAAAATAAAAAAACATGTTTTTCCTGCCATGAAATAAATATGTTTTTCACATAATACTAGTTAAAATTAAATTTTAGTTCGGAAAATATTATTTTCTCTTAATCACTAAGCGACACATTTTTTAATTGTTTTCTTTTAAGAAGCTATAAGAATTAAAAAAGGAAAAAAAAACTTACCAGCGATTAAGAAATTAATTATTTCATAGCTTTTTTTTCAGCTGGTATGGAAAAAAACTATAGAAAATTATAAGAGCAATTATATAAACATTTCGCAAGACAAAGGTGACATTAGTTTTCTTTGAACTTCTAGCTCCAGAAGGCATAATCTAGATTTATTTATTAAAGCCTCGTTTACACATCATAATCAAGATTTATATAGTATAATCAGGATTATCAATATAATAAATAGAATATGATATTTATTAAATTTATATGGTATTCATAGAGGGAATAATCACAAATCATACGGTAGAGTCTCATTTATAGGTTTATTGTTTGCAAATATGTAATATGATTGTTTGTTCAATGCAAACAATATAATAAATATTTATTATCATATTCAAATAATAAAACTAAATATTTAACTTTACAGGAATTTATTTGAAAGTTCACTAAGAATTTTTTGTAACAAAGCTGTTTTTACGCATTTTCAGAATTCAAGTTTTAACTATAAAAACACATGACATGAATTTAAGTTTTGCAAATAAAAATATGCCTTTACTATCATTAATATAAAGTTACAGAAACTAAAAAGCTTTTCACTTATTAGTTAAATGAAATAAATTTCTTTAAAACTGTGATAAATATGCTTTCTTATTTATTGAATTGAATAAAACCCTTTTAGGTATACAGTTAACAAGCGCAAAAAATAGGAGCATCGTAACAAAATTAATTCAGTTTTTGATTAAGAAAGCATTTTAATGAACGTTTTCTTTATTTTTAATAGTTGAAATACCCATAAATGATGCTCTACTGTTTTTATTTTAATTTTATTGATAAAATGCATCTATTTGTCTCTAACCCAATATTTGTCTATAGCCCCCCTATGACAAGTTTATCGGCTCTCGACTCCACCTCAATAGTTTGGCATTCTTGTATTTATATGAACTGCTTGTGGAAGCACCAACATCAATAAAGTAAATTTTCCCACATTAGGCTTGTCAGTGAAAAACATTAAAATAGTAATTACTTGTCCTTGAGTCGAACGACGAAGTATTATAAAAACTCCTTTTCAACCAAACCTTTACATTCAAAACCTTTTAAAGAAAAGTAGCTTTATCACAATTTTTTATAAAATATATCTTAAACTTGCATTACCTTTTACTATCATGTATATACTATTGATTCACAAACCAATAAAATAGCACCTTCACTAGATATATATGTATATATATGTTTGTTGATAAAATCATCTTTTTCAATCAGATAGCAACTATTTTTTTTTCTTCATTTCACAACAAGAAATTAAGGTTTTGATAACAGTTTTAAATGTTTTGGAAAGTTCATTTTATTGCAGGTTTTAACAGTGACAACAGTTTTCTTTTCTTTTCCTTCTTTTTACATAATGCCTTCCATGTAGCTCGTGTTTAAGTGTTGTATCAGCGTTTGGATAAACGCCATTTCTTTTCGGGTGTTTTCGAAAATAACAGAGGGGTCTTCAGATGTGCAGCGCAGGCAGTTTGGGGCCATAACCATAGCCAAATTTTTTGAATCCATTTTTGTGATAGCACAATTCTCTTCTGCAGCAAAAACCTAAAAATTTAATAAAATATTAACTATTTTATTTTCAAAAGGAATATCTGCTCAAACATAAAATTAAATACCTAGAACTATTATTTCTTAATTGCATGAGACAAACAACTTCTAGAGATAATATCTATATATATAAAAATATCTTGTCACAGTTTTAGTGGTTAAACTCTTTCTAAACGGCTCGACCGATTTTGATGAAATTTTATATGTATATTCACTAGGTCTAAGAATAGGTTTATAATTAATTTTTTTTAATTTTTTGGACAGATTTAACGTATATTTTAAATATATCTTTATTTCATCGTATTCGGATCCAAGCTAGACATAGAAACATAACAATTAAAAAACAATATTCAAGCACGTTGCAACAAGTCATATTAAACTCTAATACTTATGCACGCCCTTAAAGGAAGAGCATCAAATATATTTGCAAGTATGTGTATAAAGGCAGTGATATAGCAGTATTTCGAGTTGAAAATACCAATGTGACAGCTCTTCCAGTGAATTGGGTATAATATAAAAAAAAAACAACTACTTCCACTTAGTAGGAATAACATTTACCATGACGCAATGCTAAATTCTATGCCATTATCCACATAAATGCCACTATCCACATAAATCAATTATTAATCAAAAATCGAATATCAATTACTTTTCTTTATAATGCAATAAAATCTGGCGAGCAGCTA